CCTATAGTTACTTACTATACAGAAGGAGTAGATAAGCTGGTAGTTGTTGGTTTCCTTGCTTTGCTTGATTACACAGGATAAGGAGTGATTACACTCGGTCGGGTAAATTGCCAGTACCTGAATCTAAATCCTTCCAACTTTACTTAATTACTAGTAGCAAATACTACTATTATCGAACCCCGTGTCTATAATTATAACCACCAGCAGTGCCAGTGTCAGTGCCAATGCCAGCGCCAGTCCAAGCTCCAAGATAGTGTCGTCTATAGCTTCAGTGATGGGACTTCTCTCCCCCAAACCGGTAAAATATTAATGAGGATTGACTTGACCCATTGCCAAGTGGTGCGCTCCTTCCTCCCTTCCTAGTTCCCTCAGGTCCTAGTTTGCTTTAGTGAGGTACTAGTGTAGGTGGTGAAAAAGCTTGGGGCCGGGAGGGGATGGAATTATGATGATGGGTTTGAGATAAGGATTTTTCTATTGCGGTTAGTTCTTACTAAGGGTGATGATGATGACGGTGGTGGTGCAATTGTCGTGACCATGCCATATATTCTATACTACTTACTCACTACGATACCCATTATTGTCTATTTCTTTTCATAGGAAAACAGTGAAGAGAACAACCGTAGGCAGACATTACACACGGACCTGGCACTACTAAATAACATATTAATTAATATATCAACTAGTAGTTAGTTAGCTGCCCCTCTCTGCTTCTTCCCCCCCTCTCGAGCTATGACGACGATCTCGGGGGGAAGTTGTGAGGAGAGGAGAGGGGAGAGAAGACCAGAGGCTAGAACTATGACCCCTTTCACATGATAACCGACTATAGTATGTATCGACATGAGTCTAAGCTTGCAGATTGCAGTTTTTAGCTAGGTTAATTAACTTCATCACTTCTGCACGGCATATGTAGCCTACTAAGTAAATACCTACTCTGATGCTATTTTATTTTTCTCTGTTGTAGTATGTATCGATGTATGATGTAACAAAAACTGTAATTTTGTTATTGTTGTCCGTTATTTTTTTCCCCAGACCGCCACCACCTAAGTAACCTAATGAGATTAGTTAATACAGATGGGATGGAATAACGGGGATAGATGCCTAGGTGGGATAGAATAGCCAAGACAAAACCCAAGACAACACTGAAAGGGGGGTAATGGATGAATGAATGAGTGGAATGATAACAACTACGTACACTCTTTCTTTGACCAGATGGTAGTAGAATGGAACCATAATTTCTTTTTGTTTTCTATCCTAATACTCTGTACTAAAGGGTGAGAAGGACCAATGAGGGAATTACCCAATTGGGAATGATGGGGTAAGAAAGAAAGAAAAAAAAATCATACCAGACGGAGACAAAGAGTCACGGAAGATGGCCGGGATTGCGTCATGAGAATGATTTGCAGCTAATCCAGGAGTCGAGACATGGGCCTGCCTTAGTGGCGGCGCACTGCCGCGTTTCTAGATGACAATCTCCCGCGTCTGGAGGACTGGATCAGGCTGTTGACTAACTAGTACTTAGTCTAGTAGCGCACCATAACTGGACAAGGGTTGTTGTGTGGGTTGTGTGGACTACGGAGGGGGAGAAAAGACCGGAGATCCGGTGTATTAGATAATATCGGGTTCTAATCTGACTAGTTATGTTAGTTGATTCTTGTTGCTTTGCTATGCTTTGCTTTGCTATCATCATTATCGTACAGTTAGTTATGTAGGTGCAGCAGCAGCAGCAGCAGCAGCAGCAGCAGCAGCAGCAGCAGGAGCTCAGCTCAGCTCATCTCAGCTCAGCCAGTCTACTCCGTAGTAGCTTTTGCCACGTCAGGGCACTACTGCTATTTTCTTTCCGCTTCGCTTTGTTGGGGCGGGAGCGTACTGTCGTTATCCTAATCTCTCCTTCTAGTGGTACTGGGTCCCTTTTTTTTTTTGTCTGCCTCTTTACTCCGTATACATGTGATGATTTGACTGGACTAGAGAGAAAGGGAACCACTCGTGAAGAAATTTCGCGTAAAAAGAAAAAAGGAAAAAAACCAACCAAGGCACCACTCACCGTCCTCAAATCCAGACAATTTACGAACAAATTCCGGGACAGAACCTGCAAGAATGATACGGTGATCGGATGATTTCGGGAGAATTCCGGGCATTCTTCCCCTCTGGGGCCCGTCTTGCGACTAACGGGGCTGGCTGGATAGTTTATCAGGGCGGATTGCGGAGAAATTTCTTACCTAACTTGCCCCCTCCTCGCTCTCTCCAGATGGGCCGGAGCCACGGGCTGCCCCGAAAAGGGTACCTCGGTGAAGGTACCTTTGCGGTTAGGCGCTTTTTCCTGCCCTGCCATTCTTTCCCTTCTTTCCCCTTGTGACAAGACTGACGACCGACCTCCTCCTTCAAGGAGCTTGGTACTCCGTAGCGGCGTAGCGCCGTAGAGATGTCTCCTACCTAACCAACTAACTACTACACTAGATGAATTTTTTCCTTTCCCTCTAACGGAGTACTTCCACCCCCCTCCTTTACCTTTCCCAGGTTTGATTGAAGCCCACCAACCACCCCTTCACTTTCCTCTCCCCCTCATCCACCCCCTCCCCTCTCTAGTCTCTTCTCCCCCGGCTGAGGCAATTTTCCCATCCATCGGCATGTCCGTCCCGAGTCCTGGATTCTTGCCGAGTCTGTCCCGAATCCCGTGGTGGTCTGAGCCGTCCTGACTGGCGGCTTCCCTAAACCAGCCCTGATTTCTGGGGGTTGATTTCCGGTGGACGGAGTACAATCCTCCCCCTTCCTCGTTTAAGGGTCACATTAATCCGGTTACTGCTCCAGGCAATCATGTAACTATTCTGGAGCCGTGATGTGGCCAATACACTGGTAGCCCCATTGTTTTCCCTTTTCCATTATTTTTTCCCCCCTCCGTATGTCGGCATTTTCTCCCTTCCGGTAGAATGTTTGCCCTGTCTATCAGTTTAATGCTTATCACACGTTAAAGTTTTCAATGATGGCTTCTAGTAGTATTTTTCTTCGATTTTCGCCCCTGGCTAGTTTTACTCTGTATAGTCTGAGTTTCTCGCTTCTGCGCAAGACTGGGGCTTCAGGGAATATAGCGGTGAGCAAACAAAATTTTTTTTCTAGCCAGATGTTCCATCTTGACTCACACGAAAACGTTGCCAAAAAAGACAAGATGTGTGCCCAACCCGGTTCCAGCCATTGGGGCCATGTCTTTTTCTTTTTTCCCTGTCCAGCGTTATGCCGTCGTTATGTGCCATAATTGTGCGAGGGTGGATCCTTCTCCTCCCCCAAGTCAGGACTGTCAGACCACCCCCATATAGTTACTACTTACGGATACGGAATAGTCGTTATCAACTAATCGGCTACTTTAGTCCTTAACCGCCGGATTCAGCTGTCACGTGTGTTGGGGTCGTTATGAGTTACTCCGGACGGAGGTGAAACCCTGACAGATACCCCAGGCACAGCCGTGTCAAATCCCGATGCTCATTCCTGCTTGGGGTGATAAATGATATTCCGTCCAATCCGTTCAATTGATAGGCGGAATATTTCTATCCCCCTCCCTCCAAGGGATTTCCCCATCCTATCATGGACTCTGGCTAGTCCTCAATTTCACCCTCATTCATTGATTAGTAGTAGTAACGTAGTACTAGTACTATCCTAGGCCAGGGTGCTTGTTCATATCGGCATATCCGGACACGTGCCGGGGTAATTTACTCTCGTTCGAGTATAGCTCACCCAACCAACACCTGCCAATTACTACTAGTAACTATCTACTTACTACCTTGTTGGTGTGCTCATAAGCGCTACGGGAAGAAGGTATGGTGTGAGATAACAACAACAACAACAACAACAACAACAACAACAACAACGACAATAACAACAACACGGGGCAGCAGGCACCCGTATTACGAATTGCCATAAGCAAGCACCCATGATGCCAACCGATTGGGTGCTGGGATAATTGTCTCGAACGACCGAATCTGCCCATGGCGCAGCTCGATAGGCATGGAATTGTTCTAGTCCTACTTATAGTCTTAACTCAGGGGTACAGTCCTGTCACGCCCCTGGTCACGGGCGCTCAGACTACGCCCATGACGTCGGGTTTTGCAGCGCAGAGCAGTGCTTACTGCTCTCCAGCTCAGCTGAAGCTACTATGTCTCTGCTGCCTGGCTGGGCTAGGACTCTGTGATGGTGCGAGGTGGAGGGGTCTAGATAACACTCCACCGACCAATCTATCTTCTTCTTTCCATGCTCTTGGTGATAGGATTAGGGTCGGCGGTTTCGAATCAGGTAACAGCCATGAGCCGGTTAATATCGAGGGTGTGAGAGCAACCGCCCGGGCATGAGTCCAGCCCTTTTAGATGCCGAGTTCATCTACTACTCACTTCTTACCCTTCGGGGGAGCCGGTGGTTCGCCATTGTTCTAAGGCAGAAGCTGCTTTTGTACCCCGCTGGTACTTACAGTATCGTCTCTGATGGTGATGGATTCGGTCTGTGTTGGTAACTTTGTTGCGATGACTATGATAGGGTAATTGAGGTTGTTCCCGACCTTTCTGGTCATGATGCAAGAACGTGTAAGGTTGTTCCTCATGGTATCCTACTATGGAGGTAAATAATGTGTGGACATGTGATCTTGGTGTAACACTCTGGTCTAAATCATGTTTCAACCTAAGGACTAAACTCCCCCCGTAAAAGGTTTCTGAATACCTTAAAGACACGAATGTGTCGACAATCATCATTACCAGTGTCCAGTGATCGAGAATGTTGAGTTGAATGTTGATACCAACCTTTCATGCTGCATGATATCCGTCTTGTCTCACTTCCCACCTCCGATACTCTTGACTCTCCACACCCCGGAGACATGTCCGATATGGTGATATCAGGACATATACTGAGCGACATGACAATCCCTTGGAATTGAGCGTCAACCATGACCTGTCAGTTCTTCCTTCTGACATATCCCATACCAACCACCCTTATTTCACTCATCTCCTGTCTTATCTTCTCAAAGTATATTCGGTAATATTACCCGATGCGGTCGCGATGATGTCGCGCCTCAATATTCTGCCGCGTCTGCCCGCCTCCCGTCGGCCGAAGCAAAAGTCATTCAGGCATGCTTTTTCACCATTGCGATTAGTCTTGTGCTGTTGAGTGCCGTTCGTTCAGTTGTTGCCGGTGGCTATTCATTTCCTGTAACACAATTGTTCGGGGCTGCGATTGCCCCGGCTGCCCTTTTCTCACCACCCTCTCCTTTCCCTCTTTCTTTCTCTCCATCTCTCACGGCCATGGCTCCCCCGCGCCAGCGGACGACAGCCGCTCAGGATGACTCTCGCTCTGAAGGCTCCAGCACTGCAAGAGAGCATAAAACGACAACGGGGAAGTCTCGCAAGGGTGCTGGCGGTGCAGCAGCAGTGGCCGCTTTGAATAGTCGCGAGGCAAAAGCCTCTGCGAGTTCTGCAAACGTCACCAGCGCTCCGGCTGGAGGCGAACAGGACAATTTGCCAAAGGTACGCTGCAATCGGTGTTAACTTGCTCTTCCTTGATTATACATTCACTATATTCTCCATACCACTTCCTTTCATACTGTGGTATCATATCTGACATGGATTGGATGTAGATCCCCTGGTCCGAAATGCCCCTCGAACTCCTCCACTCCTACCGACATGCCTACAAGCTGTCTACCCCAAGCGCGTTCTCCAGCGAATACTCCCACTTGCTACTCTCCCGTGGAATCGGACTCCGATCACCAACTTCTATCGCCGCCCAGAGAGCACACCTGGCTCGCCAGGACCAGACGACGAATGGTTCCCAGTCGAGCGCATCCACATCCCGAAAAGCTCTGCAGAGCAATTCCTCCGCTCCGAATGGTGTCAGCTCAAGACACAAAGACCGTCCGTCAAACAAAGGCCCGGATACAATTGATGTCAAGGGTGCGCTGCATCACATAATTGGTCAGGAAAGGGTGTGCAAGAACCAGCTGGCCGTCACAGTGCGTAAACACTTCAACAGCGCTGGTCTTGCGGAACAGGAGGCTATTGCGCGGTTCCTGTACAAGGTCCGTGAAGAGGGACGAGGACGACACTTCCGTCTCAGATTCCAGCCATAGTTCCTGCGCCATCCTTCTATGACCTCGTCTTTCCCTTTTTATCACCTACCTCTGATCCCGGAAGAATCATCCCGGACCTGCGGATATGTCGTGGGCATAACCTCGGCTCATTGTGCTTCTGGTCTTGAGCACAATTTTTACGAGTTCGGGATTGAATCTATCCCAGGACTGCACGCCCTCTATCCTCCCTACTCTTCACCTTCAACGCCTCGCCTCTCTCCTTTCACCGGTCACCGGGCATCCTAGTTCCTTTACCTTTTCATGATACCCATTGGTGCTAGTTCAGATAAGTACTTCTTTCTTGCTCCTTTTCACTGTTTCCTTTGTTATCCTGATCTGTCCACTCGAGATCACTACTCTCTGTATGTTCCCTCTGAGCCTCATCTGCCTCCAAGATCCTGTCATGCTGGCTATCTTGTACGCCGCGTTAGACCCTCGGCCATCAGTGCACTACTCTTTTCCTTCTCTGGCTCATATACTTGTACATTATTACTCGGAAATGGGATATATCGGCGTTTTATCTTCATATTGTTTAGAGTTTAATTGCAATAATATACTACCTGTCCTGGTTCATAGTATTCATAATATCTCTTCACTTAGTACTCGTCCTAGGTTATAACATATACTACTTAGTAGTGTGTATATATATATATCAGTATGTGTAGTCCACTAAGCGCCAACTGAGACATGTATAACTTAGTAATTCATCCAATTGCATTTTCCTCTCCCTGTCGATCTTTTGCACTTCACTTATACTCACTATATACATTCCACTTCATTCCATTCGATATTCGTCCCTCCACTGTCCTACCGGCCAAAATCGAACCATAAAACAAGACATGAAGGATAAGTAGCAACAGCAGCAGCGACAGCAAGGATAAAGATAGATAAAGCCACTAAAACTAGCTCAATGAATAAAAACGAGGAAAGAAGAAAAGAAGGAGAGGAAATTAACAAACGCAAAGCAATCGACTCAAAAAAAAGCGAGAGTTGACGACGGGGGGAAAACGCCAAAATGCATAAACATAAAAAACGTGTCCATTCCATAAATAAGTCTATCATACTTTCATATCATGATCCCTACCCCTGTTTCCCTTGTCATTCCATTCCATAACATCCCATGAATCTCATCCTGTGCATGCATGTGTAATTAGTTGGTTTCATTTCCATGCATTCAGGCCAGCCCAGGGGTCATTGCCAGACGCGGATGTCGATTGGGGTTGAGACTGCGAGGGAGCTTTGTGATGCTGGGATGTGCCGTAAGGTCTGCTTTGTGCGTAGCCGCCAGGACCCGATGGGTACGGCCCCGTCGTAGAGGGGTAATTGGTCTGCTGGGGACGAGGCGGCGGAGGAGGCGGAACGTAGCCCTGGGGCATAAAGGAGGATGGAGCTGCTGGCGGAGTGGGCCCGGCGTAGCTGAATGGAGTAGGGGTGGACGTGTAGAAGTTTGGCGGGGGAGAGACGGCCGGAGGGACGGGGTAGGCCATTGGGTTGTAGCCCTCTGAGAGAGGCGCTGCTGCGCCTTGCTGGAATGTCTGTCCTGGGACGTAGGAAACGCCCGGTGCGTGGCCCATGTACTGTCCGTAGGGGGCAGGGGAATGCGATATTGGGATGCCCTGCGGCTGTCCTCCGACATTGGGAGGGTACCGTGGGGACATCTTTGGAGAAGATATGGCGGGGTTGGGATATGCGGGCGTCTGAATGGCGGGAGGAGGGGATTTGACCTTGGACGGCGCGGTCGTCGTTGAGGAAGGAGTTGATGATGTCTTGGGTTCCGTAGACAGGCGCTCCATTAGCTGTCGCAGCTTCTCTCGTTCGCGGTCTTCCTGCTCATTGGCATTGCTTGCCTTTTCCCGCTCGATTTGGCCTAGCAGCTGGGCGCCTTCGGATCGTCGATTGTTGATAAAGGTCTCAACGTTCTTCTTCAGGCTGTCTACGGTCTCGGTCATCTCCTTGTAGAAGGTCTGGGCTTGCGCCGTACCCGACAAGAGACCATTGAATGCATCGTAGATCTTCTTGTATCGGGACATCACCGTGTTGCGTTGACGGGTGATGGCTTCGTACTTCGATTGCTCGGCACGCACTCGTTTGTCCTGCAGTAGATCACCGTATATCTTCGTAAGCTCCTTCATCAGCGAAGCCTGTTTGTGATTGGCCTGGAGGAGTCGGTTCTGGTGCGGTCGGAATTTCTCCAGCTCCGCTTCGAAAAGCTGACTCTCCTGTCCAGAAATGGTTTTCTTGTTCAGTATCAGAACGTTGGAGATGTCGTCGTTGTGAACCTGTTCATGGGCCGTTAGTCTTGTGGAGCAATGTGCTCAAGTTTTCAGATAGACGTACCTTATCCTTCAAGTCTTTCAAGACCTGAGCCCGTTCTCTCTTGACCAGGTTCAGCTTCTTCAATATAGCTTCGACTCTTGCGATTTGCTCTGACACCGAAGAGCTGCCTTCGTCGTAGACATCATCAATCAAGCTTCCTTCCGCCGTTGGTGCGTACGGGCTGCCAAGTCCATTTTTACCCTTGCTCTGCTTGGAGCCAGCTTTGATCATAGCACGTTGGAAGAGCACTTCAGCTTCGTCTGTTTCACCTGCAGATCGCATTTCATCGAAGTCTGCCTCGTACTGCCGCAGAGTAGACAGTAGCTGTGAGTCGCTGGCACTCGCTTCATTGATGGTGTCTCGGTAGGTTCGAATATCGCCCCGTAGAGTTGTGTTTAGCCTGGCGCTGGGCTGCTGACTCCAATCCGCTCCGTATTTGGAGCGCATCTTCTCGCAGACGCTCTCCTCCAGGTCCAATTGTTTCGAACACTGGTCTAGTTGCGCGAGAATCTCCACTTTGCGATCCTGTAGCCCATCGAAGGCCTTGATAAATGGTTGATGACCCGCAAGCTCCTGGCACCATCGTCGGAATTCATCATCCACAGTCACCTCCTGGTCCATCCCCCCTTTAAGGATATTCAAGCTACCCGGAAGTTTTAGATAATCAAGACTGGCCGCCATTTCTCCATTTGCCGTCTCAACTTTCTCGGTTTCCGCACGGATCAGCTTGGCTTTCTCTTCATCATAGAGACTGGCCGTTTCCGTAACGGACATCGGGACCAATTTCTGGAAGATATCCGGGCCGATGATACGTTGGATATCCTGGCCTTGATAGAGCTCGCTGACAGGAATTGCCTTTGCTGCAGGCAGCTTCGCAACAGCTGACAAACCTGCCTCGCTGGGAATGGGTTGGTGATAGATGAAGTCGTTGTCCTTCATGAATACGGTAAGCTTGGCTTGGACATTGGCAAGATGATACTTGATGATATCGAGGAGATTGGTGCCCGATTCGGAGCTCAAATTGGCATTCGGGGAGACCGATGATGGGAAAGACTTGGCCCATCCTAGTGCTGCGGTTGAATTCTTCTCTGCCAGCTGCAGCCGGGCAATGGCTACACCGTGTGATCCGCTTTCGCTGTCGGTCAAGGCTTGGTAGTAGGACGCTACAGAGGCCATGTGTGCCGCCTTGGCCTGCACAACGATTGTCCACACTTTGTCGAAAACCCCCTTTACGAACTCCTGCATTCCCTCAGCGGCCTGAGAGTACAGATAGGCGGACTGGCTTGCAAGTTTTGCGAGCAGACCGGCCTTTTTATTGTCCGCGATCTGCTTCTCCAGGAAGACTTCTTGGCCTTGTGCGAGGGTAATGTTGATCAGAGCCTTAACAGTTTCCCGGTTCAAATCGGTCGACGGCGCGTGGAGGAAATTCTCGTTGATATACGTGAACATGCCTGCGGATGCTTGGAAAGAGTGATACGCGGTTTTGAGACCGGTGTCTTCGGCGCGATTCTGGTTTGCCGCATGGCATGACAAAACGGCGGAGATGTTGAAGATGATTGATGCTTTCTCGAACGCCAACGAGTATTGCGAAGTAGGCTTCTGGGTAAAGGCATCATACCTATGCGAGGAATTGAGGTATTAGCAGACTGAAACGGCGTGGCTGGTACAGGAAAAGGTCAAGGGGTTAGGGTACCAAGTGAAGGAGATCTTGATATGGTTCTCATCGACCGGAAACCTCAGGTCCAAGAGTTCCAGTTGTCCATAATACCGATACAACAGGTCGCGGCCTGTCGCACTATCCTTCCCCGCGCCCCTCATGTCCTGGCGCAAGCGGTTGAGGGTCGCGCATTCTGAACTGTAGCGATCGGGGTCTTCACCGTAGCTCTGGCGGATGTAGTCCTTGAGGGGTCGAATCCAATCGATCTCGTTGGTCTGCTTGAGCGGACACGAGATCATAGGCGATTGAACCATCTTGTTGCTCGGGAGGAGCGGGGAGCTCCCATCCAAAGGCGGAGAGACAGGCGGGCCCGAGGTCGAGCAGGGAAGTCAAAGTAGGGCGGACAAGGGCGAAGTCGCAGTGATCGAGGGGGAGGGTTTTCGGGGATGGCACTGTGGGGTAACGAAGGTAGGCGATGCTTAGTCGTTCAACCCTGCGAGAATTGTGGTGGCCGGTGGTGGTAAGGATCGATAGATAGATTAGTCGCAGGGTCGCTAGCAAGTCTAGTCGTCCCCGAGGCAGCCTAACAGTAGTTCCGTCGTTAGCTCGACGATGATGACGGAAGTGGGGAGCCCAGCAACAAGACCAGCGAGGGAGGCGGGAGGGCATTGGGTGGTGTAGTTGCTCGGGGAGGAGATTAGGCTTTACCTGGCAGGCTACAATCCAAGACGAAGGACAGATCTCACCTGCTGGGTGATAGAATCAGGCAGAAAGGAGTGGAGTGGAGTAGAGAGAGAGAGAGGCGGTTGGTGGTGGTTGACTGGAAGGTGATTGTGACGAGTTGCGGATGGGGGCGAGAATGTGCTGTGATGGGACACTTTCTAACCGCCGGCCGTGACGGCCAGAAAGGCAGCAATGTGGCATGCCTGAATCTATACTTTTTCTCTTACTCTCTCTGACACATCTTGCAATTTAAATCTCCACCAGTCAATGTCCTGTACTCCTCCGGACAGTTGGACGGTCGAAACTCTGAATTAATTACTTGTTTTAGAAGAGAAGAGGAGAATGTCTTGGAGCGCTAACTCTAATCGTACACGACATACATACACACATCATCCTGAGTAAGTCTCTCTATAAACAACCCAACGTCACAAATGAATCAATTGAACGGATACAGGCGAATCGAATTATCCCAACATGCAGAATGGCACCAGAACCCCCAATCTCGCCGGCGCTATGATATTTTCCCGTAAACATAATTACACAGTAAGGAAACGAATGTGTTTCGAAGGAGTATCCAGATTTTGTCGATTATACACATGTTTGTCGGGGAACCCCTTTTAGCTGGAGCCGGACTTCTTCTCGTCGTCGGATTTGTTGCTGTCGCCGCGGTCCTTCTTGCCTGATTCGCTACCCGAGCCTTCCGATCCCGATTGTTTCGAATGGTTCATGAGCTTGTGCCAGGCCGATTTGAGGAATCCCTCGTTCTTGGAAGAGTCGGAGGTGGAGCTGGAGTCAGGAGTCGATCTGCTTCTTTGTCAGCAACACCGTAGAAGGAATCAAACTCAGGAATGCTACAAAACTCACCCATCCCTGGGGATGTCCATGATGCGCCTGGCTGTCTTGTCACCCATTTCATCTGCAAGAACCTCGAGAATCGTTCGCTGATTGCTAGTCAAGTACTTCGGCATGGC